CGGTAGATTCTAGGCATTAGTGAAGTGAGTACGGTAATACTGTATGGAACACTAGATTCTAGGCATTGGTAAAGTGAGTAATAGTGAAAGGAATACTGATTTTAGGCGTTAGTTGAGCGAGATATAGCAAATACAACACTGCATGTATTGCACATTATCTTTAAATTAAATGTTCATTGGAAATATTCTGTAAAATGAAGTTATGAATGAATAAAAAAAAAATATGAATAACCAAGTAATCTAAGTTACTACTTTTCCTTCCAATCACAGCCTGGCAGCGACAGTGGCTGCACATGCGTTGTTGCTTTACTTCGAGGGAACCAATTAATTGTGGGAAATGCAGGTGACTCAAGATGTATTGTTTCCAGGTCAAACAAAGCAATTGATCTATCCATTGACCACAAACCAGAAGATGAGCTAGAAAGAAAACGCATTGAGAAAGCCGGCGGTAAAGTCACCATGGACGGGAGAGTGAACGGTGGACTCAATATGTCACGAGCTCTAGGTGAGAGAATATTTTATTATGTTTTCGCTATCTCTTTTTTTTTTCCAGCAAAAGTTTGGTGCATCATTTTTGCTTGCTTTTATGTACTTTTCTAGAATTTTTTGATAATTTCAAATCTAAATTTAAAAAAAATTAAATTAGATAGGTAGGTGGTATGGGCTGATATATAAATGTAACTTGCAGATATACTATTTTTATATCGTATTATTTACATCGTAATGTACACAATTTCAAAATGATGGTTTATTTTTGTGATCGCAGTATGTCACATGTTTTTCAACTGCTAACATTACCAGCCAAATTCACTATAATCTTTTTAGGCAATGGATATAGACATTATTTCATAGCAATATGTATAGCAGTGTTTCATCTAGGTTTTGAAAAAAAAGGAAGGGGAATATCCCAATCAATTTGTGATTGGCAATGTGAATCTTGTTTTTTTTTTTATTGGAAAATTGTATGTGTGCTAGCCATATTGGACAACACATTTTTCTTTGAGTGTTCACTGGGAATGGTCAATACTTAAGATGTACATTACACATCACAGTTTTACTATTTATGATTTTATCTCCAGTGTGCTGTTCATACGACATGCTGCATTTATGAGCGAAATAGATCACAAATTGTGCATTATTATTAGTTGTACAACCCATGGGAATAGAAATTTACATAACACAATTGTGAGTCCAGGATGAATGGAATTTTAGTGAAAATTAGCTAGTTTTGAAGTTGCAGAATGATTTATTATGAGTGAGAAGTCAGCTGGGTCTACATTTCCAAAACATGACACTTTCTAGCTCCGCTGTTGACTTTGTTAAGTGGAGCTTATCATACGAGTGATTGTCCGTCAATGTTTTACTTTTTCGACTTCTTCTTGAAAACTACAAGCCTGAATGCTTTGGTACTTGGTGTATATGTACCTTGGGTAGGCCTCTCTTAGATATGTTCATTTCATGATGAAATCTTCAATTCTCTAATTTTGATGAATATTTTTGTCATTTTTGGTAAAAAGTGATAAAAAAAGCTTGTTTAAAATTTTGTTATAAACTTTGGGTACATAACACACTCACTGCTTCTCTGTTTTTACATTGTCATCTATGGGGAGTTTAAGTGTAGTATCAAACATATAGTGGATCACTACATAACACCACTGGTGTATTTCTTCATTCACAGGTGATCATTGTTACAAGAAGAACTCGGCTCTTCCCGCCAAAGAACAAATGATATCAGCATTCCCAGACATACAGACATTGACCTTGACTCCTGAAGATGAATTTATGGTTGTTGCCTGCGATGGCATTTGGTAAGGTCAACTTTTTGTCATTGCAGTGTTGCTCCTGTGTTTCAAACTGTATAACGTCTGATAGACAACATAATGAGGTCACAATTAAGGCGCATTCTGATGTTAACCTTTTCACCACCAGTTCCCACTTTTCATCACAAATTCACAAAATAGTCCTGTTCATAGTCTGCACTGGGGAAATAGTCTACTGAAAATCTTTTAGTTATTTCGATATTTAGTTTACCGTACTCGACCGCGTTAGCGCCCAGGGGCCTCAACTCAGAAAATCACGATTTTTTAGGGGTGGGCGCTTACCCGAGCACCCCCCTCGAAATAGAGTGCAAATGAAAAATTTTATTCATCAAGTGACAGATTACGTCTTTGAGGGAAATCAAATTACGAAATTAGTTGAGTCGTCATTAATTTTCACAATGAAGGAACAGAAATGATCACCAAAAAATATGCACATTTTATTACAATATTAATTACGTACCAC